TATTATATTCCCGAATTTCGGTATTTTTAGTCGGACCACTAATACCACTCCGGCCGTCGTAATCAGAGCTCGGCAAAAGTCATTGATTTCGGCGGCAAGCGTCGCTGCATATTTTAACGAACGCGAATTCTAATTAATGGACCGAAACAAAACAGCGAAACACAATAATTCACGATAATTGGCTCAGGTTCTGCAATCGTTAAAACAATAATATTATGTCGAACACGGACGTATTATAATATTGTACCGTGGTATAGTAGTGCGCGCATCGGACGACCGCGACGCAATAATCGACTTTGAACCACGTTACCACTCGACTACCGCGATCGTTGTGTTTGAGGTTAGGTACATATATAGCTAGAAGAGGACAAAATTCTAAATCAATTTTTATTCGAGTTATTCAGATGCTCTACAGTAATATAACCAAAAAATAATTATTGCAAGCGACAACCGTACTGAAAAATAAACACAATTATATTATTATCTTTGCGGACGATTACCCGATATTATTATAGTTTTTGCTTAAACCGCAGAAAATACACCATGTACTTACACGGTGATGATTCATCAAGCATGCCCACCTCCCCTAAATCTTAAATAATGCATTTATTTAAAATCAAATTTTGGAATTATTAAATATAGGTAGGTACCAACTTTTTATGATATTTTTGAATCCTTGAGATTTTTTTGTACCTCTTAACGATGTGTCCATGGGCCATGAACTATGAAGTGTCCTGTGGACGATTTGATCAGGTTCTGGAATCGTTAAGACAATATTATGACGATTATATTATACCGTGGTATTTGTCCACTCGTCGGACGACCGCGACCCAATAATACCGACTTTGAACAACGTGGTAACTGGTAACACGAATGTCGCAAATCACTCGTAATCCTCATCTGCAGTCATCGGAATACGACCAGTATGGAAACACAATCGAGTCTCGATAACTCAAAATGTTTTCTAGTCCCTTTAAGTGTTTTTAAGTTGTGTCTGAGGTGTATCACTCGAATAATACTAAAGTCGAATTTATTCGTTTTCATTTCCCCTGAGACATTCGAGTTATCGACATTTGAATACGCATCACAGCAAAAAGTAATATTATTGCAGGCAACAACCGTACTGGGCACTGAAAATAAAAACAATTTTATTATTATTATTATCCTCTTGAACAAATCCTCGATATTTTAATTACTTTTAATTTTCCTTACCGCATCGAATACTCAATGTAAATATAAGGTGATTCGCCAAGTGTGCCCACCCCCTTTTTTTCTTTAATGTAGTGCAGCTATTCAAAATATGGTTTTTGAAATGTTTAAACATTGGTTCCCAAAGACCGTATAATATTTTGGAGTACTTGACATTTGTACCACATAACGATATAGTGTCCTGTGGCGATACAAACTTTAATTTTTCAAACGAGAACTACCCTTTTTCACTTTAAATTATTGCCAATTATAGATCATTTTTGAAAACGTTTATATCGTCTTAATCGAATCAGTATATTTTTCTGAGTTATTAAAATGTTTAGGTTGTACTAAAGAATAAAGATAATAGTATTTAAAAATGGTCTTACAAAAATATAAAATATAATAATATGAAATATAATATTGAATCTATAGTGTTTATTATACACGGACAGTTTTTACAAATTGTAAAACGTTGATGGATTAATATTACAATAGTTTTTATTTCAATTCATAGCTGTCATATTTACCCGATCTATATACATAACATTATCATCCTTAGTTCCGAGGGCGGCTTTAGTTATTTGTCTTGGGGGGAGGGGGACAATATTTTTTGTTAGGTTTATATTTAAACTATAATAAAATTAGTCAGCAAGTATTTATTTATTATTTAGTGTACAAATTAACAGTATAATATGTTTATATACTTAATATATAACGTTTAATAACTCGTAAGGTAGTAAATAATATAGTGTGGTTATTTTTCGAAAAACAGAAGATTGTATCGCTATACACGCGACACCACTCCTCGAGAATATTATTTAAAAATTCCAAAAATCACACGTCGAACAACGCTGCAGCATAATATAAACCGACGTGGGGCATGCTCGGTTAATCGCTCTGTATATAATACGGCGTTATATACTTAGTCAAACACTTAAGCATTTATATACTTCGGCGTACCTCCGGGGACGGCGACGCAATGCGATCACTTGGCAAGCACACGCAAAATTATTATAATATTGTATTTATATATCTATGCACATATATATATATATAATATACAGATGAGTACCTCGTATGCGAACAGATCTAATCGTGTCTGACAAATGGCATATCTTTTTGATTAAATTACTTTTGTTTCGAGGTACGCTTTTATTTGCGAAATTCGTTTCGTGTAGTAACCAGATACAATAATATAGTATATGCGGATGTATAGTACGGTTTTTCAATCCTGATAATGTTTTTATAATACGATTCTCGCTGTAATCCTGTTCATCATCTATGTGCGGTATATATATATATATATAATATATATATAGGAATACTCATCGGCTCGCCGATCTGAAAATTTACTATAAATCGATAGCGAAATACGTCCGTTATTGTTTTCCAACTTTTCCGCTGCGCGATACGATAAAGTCCGAATTCGCTTTATCTATAAACTCGAGTTCGCAAAAATTACATTTTTTTTTACTATATACATAATAATATAACGCGTTGTTGATATTATGACTTGCGTTCTTTCTTTGCGCACGTATTATTAATATCATATTATTATGACCCATCGATGATTATAACGTATAGCTTATATTCTTGGAGCGATTATATCGTGTAGTATTACAAAAAAAAAAAAAAATGTATTGGAGTAAATATATGTTATAATTATTATAATGATACAAATGTATAGTTTGATGTTAGGAATTCTATTATCGTATGACTGTGGTACGACTTAAGCTCGTCGAGGATTTAATTTAGACTTTTCTCTAAATCTCATTATGCTCATCAAATGAAAATAATCTATAGATATAATATTGTATGCAGAGTCGGTACATAGTGACATTTAACTCTTGAATGTCCGAAATCCCTAGTTTCAAATAAGTCAAAAACAATCAATCGAGCCGGCCAGATATTTGTCGACCAAATTTATACCGCAAAAATAAAGTATGTTCTTCCCCATACTAACTGATCTGAGATTAATAATATTTTGATTGAAACTAATGCAATTCATATTGATGCTGTCGTGTGTAATTCGTATTAAATTTAATCACTAAGGATATGTCAGAGTTGCTTAAGATGGTGTCGTTGACACGTGCTATTGGTGTACGTACTATGTCGTCATCAGAGAGAAAGAAAATATAAGAAAATATAATAAAACTCGTCGAGCCAGTAAACCGCCAACGCCAAAAAACAATGAGAGCAACACAATAAAATTGTATTACTATTATTATGATAATTATTATCGAAAGATAAAAAAATAAAAACAAGTAATAAAACAATTTACCCCCATGGCGTTAAGACCAATATGTAACTATTACAGGTCATATTTACCTCGGAAGTTTTTTTTTGTTCAACTGAAAAATACGAAGATGCAAAACTTGAATCTATACAACGCAATTTATTAAAAGTAAATTGCTCCACTGTAGTTTTGTTTGTTTACGGAAACAATATATTGTTATTACAATACTTACGGTAGTACCAGTAGGTACACTCAATTTCGTATAACGTCCGGCTATACGACGGGTACATAATTAATTGTTCACTAATCGCTTTGAAGATTTCAACAATTTAGGTTTTGACGTTTCCGAAGACGAACGAACAGGAATTAAATAAATACCCAAGTCTCACAATGACATTGTTATAATGTACACCGCGTCACGGAAATCATTACTATCAATACATTAAGAGGACGTCACGCCGGTCATTTTCAGTGGTAAAAACACGTCCACGGAAAACAAACAAAACGGCATCAAAAAGTGGTTTTAGAGTAAAAATACTTGTTATAAAACTTATAGAGAACAATATTTTGGAGGGAACCTCATCGGTGTTTTTATGTGGACGGAAGACATTATTAAATTATATTCAACCACAGTACCGCATATATTGTATACACGTACATGATATTATGTGTAGTAGGGTCAGAGTCGTGACGGGTCTTTTCGTTGATTGATGTCGGAGATGACCATCTCCGTGCGCATGCGTTAACGATATTATAATACTCGTAGGTAAGGCGCACATAATAATATATTGAATCGTAACGTCGCGATCATAGATATTAAAGAATGGATATGCCATTGTGACATTAATAAAATAGAGGGAAGTGTGCCGGAATGGGGAAGAGAGAAAGACTGTTTTATATCATTGTCTCTCATTCTGGCGGAGGTCTTGTCATAAATTATATATATATATATCTATTTGAGTTTTGACCTCTATAACCTCACTTGTACTCTATTATGATAGTGTGATTACTGTTGGTATTTTTCCCGCAGTATCTCGATATTTATTTGTTGTACAATACGCACGCTTGTTGTAGGTATAAGTTTTTCTCGACTCCCTCCTCATTCGGTATACCTATTATACGGCCCTTATTGCTACCATCTAGAACTTTCAGCGGTCGGTAATAGGCTGCCCTAGGGTCAAATCATGGACATGGAGCGGAAATAAATGAATCGCTAAAAATATTTTAATTTAATTTTTAATTTTTCTGTATTAGTTCGTTGAAACGACCTCAAGGTCTTTGTCAACGCTCATCACTAGTGAGTAGTAGTAATTTCTGACCCCTGACCTAGAACAAGGGTAAGCTCTCTTACTTCACTGAATGATTTCAGCCGATATTGGCATATAAGCGCATGAATAATAATAAGCTGTTGGTTGTCGATCATTCGATAACAAGAGATCTTTACACTGGTTACAAAAAACAAAAAAAAACCAAAGTATACCTGCACAGTATAGTCACGATGATTTCGGTCGGGCCACTTGGACCGAAACCGTTTGCCGTCCCGAATCGTTGGCAGGCTGTAGTGAGTCGGTCATCATCGGCTCCTGCAGCGTGGAAGCGACTGACGGCAATCCCATGCATCACCCGAAGACGCAGTCTGTACCGCTGTGTTCGGTATTGAGCTATGCCGTCTTAACGCCGGAAACTGACCGCTTCTTTCCGACGAGATTTCACGACAATTTTCGTTCGATTCGGCGGACGGAGTTATAATCTCGACTTCAGAAGACTCGATAGTAACTTCTGTGATATTCGACATGTTCCTTTAGACTTTATTAATTTATTAACAAAAGAGTGTGTTATAATTTTTGACAACAAATATTACAATGAACATACGTACGTATAGTGTTCGTTGTAACGATACAGCAATAATGAACTATGACGCAGAAAATATTTATTCCAAACAGTATAGTAGTCCATTGCAACAATATTTTTAAAACTTTCGTCTCGGGAATAATATACATAATATATTATATTATTAGTTTATCAATTTTCATTCAAATATTATGTTAAATTTAAATTTTAAAATAAAAATTATGCCAAGAAATTAATCAAGTTAAGAATAAACTTAAGTGTGCTAAATTCCCGGTTTTTAAACTTGTATTTTAATACAACCCAATAAGCTATATACTATAATTCCATATTATGTTTTTGTACAACTTTAATAAAATTTGGTAACCTTTATGTTTTGGTACTATTATTTGTTTAATATTGACTAGAATGAATATATAGCCGCCGTAAAAAATTTATAAGTAGTTATATAGGTGTACAAACAATCGTAACTGCGGACAAAAAATATAAAGGTACCTACAGAGTGATTCACCGACCACGGTCACCCCCGAAAGAATCTAACCAATTTTATTGACTTTCCTATCATAAAATATATTTGAGTAGACAATTACCACTGTAAAAAAAGTGTTCATTAGCAAAAAAAAACTCATCTTAAAATAAAAACACTAATCGCTCCGCTCGGATTCTAAAAGTCGGCGAGCACGGTTGGGCCGTGAATCACCCTGTATAGGCGAAAACACCGAAAACCCCGAAAATAACTAATACCATAGTGGTATATATAGGTAATTCGATGGAATCGTCCGAACGTTTATGTTGTGCGGATTTATAAGTTATAGGTGTACACACACACACACACACACACACACACACACACACATATATGTATCCGTCGGTTGTGGGATTTCGTGCGGACTTTCACGTCCGAGATAAATCGAGTGAAACTTCGCTGCAACCGTGCTGAGCAGTGTGTGTGCGGCAAATCGCGTCGTAGGATCTCCGGCTGAAGCGTTTCCGTGCGCCGCCGTGGTGTAAGACTTATACCTAGGTATATTATATATGGTATTGCGCAGCAGTTATCTCCGTTGACTAGACAACAGCCGCGGGGGCGGGCGAGGACGAACGAGACGAGATGAAAAAACCGAATAGGAGGAGAAGAAAAAAATAAAACCAGAGAAAAAAATAAACTAAACGCCGGCGCATCGACATCACCGGTATCACACTCGCGAGACGCACACACTCGCACCCACACACACCCACACGAGCTCGCGCAAACAGATGTAATATATATTGGACGTCTCGCGTATCATGGCTGCTGTCCGCGAACGATTGACGGCCGACCGGAGCACAACCACTGCTAAACAACTCCGAAGGCGATTTATTATCCGGCCGTGTGTTGACTTTTGTCCGCTTTAACAGGGATTTGCTGACGGAATAAGCCAATTGTTGCGGAGGTTTTGCAGATCAGACCCTCTGCTGACAGTCCGAGGGCGCGCACCCACCCCGGGCACCCACCCGCGACCGGACCGCACCCGCGGCCCACCCGCACACCCCACAGACATATACCATACATATATTATATTGTATATACGACGATAATACGGCCGTGTCGCCGTCCGCGCACGTATACACCGCCGACAGACACAGACGGTCCTTATACTATACATAGTCGTGTCCAACAAGACCGCAATTATTCTCGTCGAAAACTTTGCGGGTCCGGGCGAGTGCACCCGCCGCGCACGACTACTGTCGCACCCACCCTTCGCCCGAGACCTTTGCGACGTCGTCTCCTCGGACGTAATATTATAATACATCACATAAATTGTTGTAGTGTAAATAATATAATATAAGCCTGTTAATCGATGTATTATACTATGGCCTTTTGTTTTTTTGGTGGTGTGTGTGCAGTGCGTACATATAGATATAATAGTAAAAATATATTTTAAATTTTAATTCGATATCCGTGAAACTGAGTATAATATAATATTCTATAATACGAAATTAGATTTTAAAAACCTTTCATATTCGCTTAAACAAGCCAGTTATATAGTAGTCGAAATATTTGCCATACATACACATCGACTAGTGTGCAGGTCTGTCGGAACACCGTCGGTCCGTGTAAATACGTTGAGTGGTGGGGGGGGGGGGGGTTAACAAATAAAAGAGACCTAGGTGTGCAGCACACACCTATAGTTGCTTATCTGTAGCGATATCGCCGTATTGGCATTATTTTCATAACTCCACAGGTCTGGCTGTACTTACAAATTACCAAATTGCGCATACAAATACTTACAAATGACTTACAAATTATTGACAACATTTGGAGCCGAAATGTTGACATTGTGCGGCCAACTTCACGGACCTTAACTCCGCCCTATTTTTTTTATTTTTTTCATTCAAACATTTTGGATTTGGAGCTTCTGATATCTTTCTTATTTTTTAAAGAACTTTCGCAATAGTTGCATACCATCTCTTTAAACATCACTAGTCACCACTGTGTCCACCACCAAATATTTTACCCACAAGCCACCACTGTGTGTGTGTGTGTTTTAATTGGGCGGAGAAGACACGGTCGCGACCGCATAAATTGAGTAAATTATACTAAATAGACGTTATATTATACCTATACCTACCCTCCTACTCTGTGCGACTCTTAAAACTGCAGTTATTCCGATCGAACGATACACGACGGGGGCAAAGGTATCGAATATGGTTCAGACCGTTTATGACATACCGTCACCAATCGACTGTCGACTTTTAATATGGTGTATATAACTTTGTTATTCATGGTAAAATACTAGTATAAAAAGGCAGACCTACTATAAACCAAGTCTAGTTTATTGTGCATACCGGTTGATTGGAACGAGTCATTCGTGAGATCGTACCTAGTAAACCTAGACGGCAAAATGTTTCAGTGAAACACCGTGTTCGAATTTAATACGATTAATTACACAATGTATATACACAATAACATTTCACACTGGCCGAGATTCGGTTCGAAATCGACTTGTGCAAGGACAACAACACGCGTTGTTTATCGGTCGGAAAACTAAAACAAAACGAGACGGCTAAAAGTAATGCTGAAAAACGATCCCCTATTACCCCTGTCGGGTTGATTTGGCAGAGCATTTATTAAGATATCAGATATTTAATCTTTACTGATGGGTTACCGTTTTGTTTGTTGTTTGGAGTCGAACAAATCTATTTCCGACGTTTGAGAATTGATCCATACCTTCGGTTATAACGTTTTGTGGGTATTTTGTTCGAGAACAAATTATAGACATATATATAATAAATGAGTAGGATTATTCCATCATTGCTATATTAATTAGACAACGATTTTGGTGATTAGTGATGATTTAAGTTGTAAAGCTTTATATTGTATTGTTCAATTGCAAGAATTTTATATGTGTATAATATTACATTATATAAATATTGAAAAAATATTGAAAAAATATATATTTATTAAATATTAACTATATTAACATTTTAGTCGTGAAAAATGTATAGAAATTATTAAATTGTGTATAGTTAACACAATTAGTTAAATCAATAAACTTAAAACAATATTGCTTTCTTCATTTGACTTCAAAGAACGTTTTACACAATATTTTATAGACTATAGTGAACAAGAATTTTGTATTTAAAACTGTGGGACTCGTGAACTCCCACACGAATATGAGCATTATTTTATCGGAGAATAAATAAAAATTTAAAAAAATAAAACCTGTTGATCAATTATATTACTTTTTTTTTTTTTTTTTATTATTTTAAACTAAGACATTCCTAGCCTAAGGCTATCTATGTCTAGGGATATTTGACAATATACTTATGTTTTAACAGGTATAACATGATGATTAAATATTTATAAGTACTAAGGATAATTTACAATTGGTGATTGCAAGATATTTACAGATGTTACAATGTGATTACAATAATATTATTCTAGTATTTACATATTTACAATAATTTAATAACTATAAGTAGCAGAGAGGTCGTAGAGTTATCTGGAGGAAGCGCGTGTGTAGAGTGGAGATCTGGATGTTGAGAAGTGGCTTAGTGTAGGAGGTCGTGGGGACGACCTCGTTTTAATCGACGATGAGTTGGGTGAGTGAGGAGGTTATAGTGAATTGCTCCTGATGAGTTTGGAAGAGAGCAGTGGAAATTTTTTGCTAATGTTTTTATATGATCTTTGATTTCTTGGATTTGAAAGTCTTTGTGGAGATTTGCATTTCTGACAAACCATGGGGCATTTGCAATTATTCTGAGGACTTTGTTTTGGAAAATTTGTATTTTTCTTAAGTGTGTAGCTGAGCAGTTACCCCAGATAGGGCAGGCATAGGTAATAAGTGAGCGTAGTAATTGCTTGTAAATTAATATTGAGCATTTTTTTTGTATAACTGATTTTTTGTTTAAGATAGGGAATAACATTGAGAGTCGCTGGTATGCTTGTTGAAGTTTAGAAGCTATGTGAGGCCCCCAGGTTAACCTCCTGTCTAACGTGACACCAAGGTACTTGACAGAAGGCTGCCAAGGTATGGAATCGTTATCGAATCTTAATGGTGGTGGAGTGGAATAGCGACGTAAGCTAAATATGACTGCTGTGCTTTTTGAAGCGTTTATGTGTATTTTCCAGCTATTGCACCATTTTGCCAGTAGATTTAGGTGATCTTGTAAGTTGTTTGTTATCGCTTCAACGTTGCGGGATTCACTGTAGATAGTTGTGTCGTCTGCGAATAGGGCGATGTTTGTGCGTGGTGATTGCGGTATATCAGATATGAATATATTGAACAATATAGGTCCGAGTTTGGACCCTTGAGGTACACCAGCAGAGATGGACCGGGGAATTATATTACTAGATGAATGCAGAGATGATATATTATAGTAGTCGGAGGTCTAAAAATTATATTTTAAAAACGAGCAGGATGTGACACAACAATTTCAAACAAATAGATAACGATAACTAATTAC